AGGAGTGTCCCACAAGAGTGTCCCGCAACAGTGTCCCGCAAGAGTGTTTCACAAGAGTGTCCCTTAAGAGTGTCCCACAAGAGTGTCCCGCAACAGTGTCCCACAAGAGTGTGTCCCACAAGAGTGTCCCACAAGACTGTCCTACACAAGTGTCCCACAAGAGTGTCCCACAAGAGTTTCCTACAAGAGTGTCCCACAAGAGTGTCCCACAAGAGTGCCGTACAAGAGTGTCCCACAAGAGTGTCCTACAAGAGTGTCCCACAAGAGTTTCCTACAAGTGTGTCCCACAAGAGTGTCCCACAAGAGTGTCCCACAAGAGTGTCCCACAAGAGTGTCCCACAAGAGTGTCCTGCAAGAGTGTCCCACAAGAGTGTCCCACAAGAGTGTCCCCAATGAGTGTCCCACAGGAGTGTCCCACAAGAGTGTCCCGCAACAGTGTCCCGCAAGAGTGTCTCACAAGAGTGTCCCTTAAGAGTGTCCCACAGGAGTGTCCCGCAACAGCGTCCCACAAGAGTGTCCTACAAGAGTGTCCCACAAGAGCTTCCTACAACAGTGTCCCACAAGAGTGCCCCACAAGAGTGGCCCACAAGAGTGTCCTACAGGAGTATCCCACAAGAGTGTCCTACAAGAGTGTCCCACAAGAGTTTCCTACTAGTGTGTCCCACAAGAGTGTCCCATTCGGGTTTGCATTCGGGTTCGTGGGCTCCATCTTTTTAAACAATTCTAATCGCTCGAGTCAAAACTATCAAAAACTGCTCCATGACTCACACATGCACCGGTTCTGGTTTGAGGCTGCGTGTGTCTCTTGCGATAGGTCCTGTAGCGCCTTTTCACCGGCACAATTGGCGTATCTAGTTACTTCAAGAATGAAACGTTCATCTACATTGTCTACATTCACTGTACAGGAAACTTCTGGAACATGAACGAGCGGGAACATCCTGTTCTAAACCTGATTTGGTTCCCTTTTTGGCTTACTTTCTCGTCCGAACAAGATCAGCCTACGAGCAAGCAGCGGATTCTCTGAAATCACCGTCTCCAGCTTGTCCGCTTGCTTCACCAAGATGTTGCTATCAGTCTCCAGCATCTTCCAGCACGCGGCTTCCACTTCACTTCCAGTATCCAGGAGCCTGCCAAGGATCTGCAAAATGTTCTCTTCCGTCAGCATGCCCGTCAACTCTTCATCAACTTGTTTAACTAAAGGCTGAATGCAGAATCGATCTGCTAGCTCGCGCACTGCCATGCAGGTCTCAAGGTCTTCGTCCGTGTCGAAGGAGTTCGTCAGAATAAAACGCAAGATTGCAGACATACATTTCACTGTGGCTGAACGGAGGTTGATCTCACCGGTTCTTGTCTCCTCCCAGTCAGGTGAAGACAGCATCTTGCGGAAATAGTCAGAGCGAGCTATCAACAAACGCCGGTCGAACACGAGTTTCTGATCGTCAGCCAAGCGGAAGGTCAGGAACTTTGCTGTCTGGTTATCGGAGAAGTCCAACTGGCGGAAGGACTCCTGCCAAGCCGAAACCCTTTGCTGTTCCCTCCAAGGAATGTGAACTTCTCCTTGCAGGGTAATTTCGCCGTCTCGACCAATGAAGTGTCTGTGGGTAGAGATGTTTGCAAACAAATCATGCCATCCGCGATCTGCGTGTTCATTTGAGAAGGTGAAGGTGTCAAGTTTCTTAATGTTCTCAGTTCCTGTCTTCTGGCTGACGACTGTAATACCATACCTCACACTCGCGCAGGACCATCTCTCGTCCATGTGCGCTGGTGGCACTAACTCCACAAATGCAGAAAACAAACTTTCACTTTGAGTCTGACTTCTCTGACTTTGCTCTTGGTGTACCGACTTGGTTCCATTGGGGAAAACCAAGAAGCGACATTGAAAAGAATCACTGGGCCCGAAGAGTGAAGACCGCACGGAGGCACCAACAGGATGGATAGAACGATCTTTTATCACAAACTCAGGGAGAAGCATGCTCATCCTGATGCCCGGCATGGCTTCAAGGCTTGTTCAAGGCTTTTCAAGGCTGATTCAATAATTCAATATGATTCAAAACTTGCGTGATCTGCATCATGATGTATCATTGTGTACTTGTTGCATTCGGGAGAGCGTGCTGACAAGAACTCATCTTCAGAGCGCAATCAATGAGCCAATGTGGTGGGCAATGCTATGCAAACTCCAGATAGCCTATCTACACGGCA